CCCGACCCGAACCTGTTTTACTTCCGCATTCCTGTCGTTTTGGTCCGCAGCAGAAACTGCACGTGTGACCGCAAGTGGAGCTGCTCCGACGCTGCGCCGGAGCTGTCACGCTCAGCGGCTTTGCACGTGTGACCGCTCCACAAAATTTGCTCCGGTGTAAAATATATCGCAACAAAATATTTCGGTGCAGCGTCAGACCAAATGTGTGCCGTGTGAACAGGGCTAATTATACTCTTATCAGATTCGTCCAACATCTTCACAGGGTCTTTTGGCTTTCTTTTAAACACATTTGTGTTATTTTAAAAGTGTGTTTAAAGCTCTTTAAAATAATAAATAATAAGGATAATAAAATAATAAAATAATAAGTGCCATTAATGTTACAAAAAAAATGAGTAGGAACTCAAGGGCGTTTTCATTTTACAGACATCACTTTTGTGGGCGGTGGTCTGGAACCAAACCCCTGTGATGTAGGGGGTTTACCGTATACATATATAAAAAGTAGAGTTTGACAATCTCCAGTCATTAACATCACCCATGCAAATATAGGCAAAGTAAGATTATACTTGCTTTGAGAGATGGACGCGTCAGTAAATTTTGTCGGGCCATCATTCGTCGTTCACCAGGACCTGAGCCACCCGCCCATCACCTTTTCTTTTCACAACATTCAATAAACGTTGCGAACTGAGGACAAGAATTGTTGAAGCTGTGTAGGTGGAATTCTTTTCCATTCTTGCTTGATGTACAGCTTCATCTGTTCAACAGTCCGGAGTCTTCGTTGTTGTCTTTTATACTTCATAAAGTGGCACATATTTTCAATTGGAGACAGGACTGCAGGGAGGCCATTCTAGTACCCTCACTCTTTCACGATGAAGGCACACTGTTGTAAAACATGCAGAATGTGGTGTGGCATTGTCTTGCTGAAATATGAAGGGGCGTCCGTTAAAATATGAAGGGGCGTCCGTTAAAAAGACATTGCTTGGATTGTAGCAAGTTTCTCCAAAACCTGTATGTACCTTTTAACATTAATGGTACCTTCACAGATGTGAATGTTACCACACCATTGGCACTAACACAGCCCCATTGTCCCGTGACCTTTGTGAGGATAAAGCATCACCAATGCTGGCTTTTGAACTTTGCGTCCAATCACAGTTCGGATAGTTCTTGTCCTCTTTGGCCCAGAGGACATAATGTCCACAATTTACAAAAAAGCACTGTCCCAACTTCATTGGAATTGGTTTTGAAGGATTTAAGCCTAGATTTTACCAATAGCAATTGGACGTAAAACAAGGAGCAGGCTTAGGGAATGGGAACGGACATTTAACAGCCAACACAACCACAGGTCACCAGACTGACTAGCGATGCTTAAGTTTTTCTTTTCCTCTCGGAAGACCAGAACCCTCTCCTCTGCTCTGCTCGAAGCCTTGTCACGGCCGCGAACAATCACGCGAGACGTGGTGGATGTTTCTGTCAGTAATTAGTGAAACGGAATCACATCAGTGACGGACTGAGATTATTTGGTACTCACCGGGTTATTGACAGATGAAAACCCTATTCTGTCCGCACTTAGTCCGACAGTTTTTCTCTTAATTTGTCATCAAAACGGGAGTCAGTCTCTTCTGGCGGAATGCCCACCTCTACCTGGTGATACGACATAACATATTCCGATTTCATAAATCTGTAAGGGCAAGCAAGCATTACAACTGGCAGAGAGAGAGAGTCAAGTGTATGTGCTGGTCATATCTAACTTCATGTCGTCATCATCTACACCTCAGTGATCCATAGATTCCACTACATTACATTAAGAAGATTTGTGTGAAGGGTGGATAAGCGGTTAGTACATCTGCCTGACAATGCAAAGGTCAAGGTTTCAAATCCGGGCTCAGGCCTTCCTATGTGGAATTTGCATGTTATCCCTGTGCATGCATGGGTTTTTTTCTGGGTACTCCGGTTTCCTTCCACATACCAAAAACATGCATGGCAGGTTAATTAATCAGAATCATAATCATCTTTATTGGCCAAGTATGTAGAACACACAAGGACACGAAAATGTCCCTGGGTGTGACTGTGAATGAATGTTTGTCTACGTGTGCACTGCAATTGGCTGGCAACCAGTACATGGGTGACCCCACCTACTAAATGGTGAATGGGCTGTCAGTTATGTAGGGCTTTTTTTACCTTTGGTACTCAAAGCCCTTTACACTGTTTCCTCATTTACCGACTGATGACACAGCATTAGGAGCAACTGGGGGTTCAGTATCTTGCTCAAGTACACTACGACAAGGTCACAATGGCCGAGGATTGAACCGGACAACCAATCTACAACTAAACCATGCCCCCCCCCCACCTTCCTGTCCAAGGAGAGCTGGGATAGGCTGTGAGGATAAGCAGTTTGGATTATGGATGGATAGATTTGTTATAATTCTTTGACTGAATATCGGTTGGCCACAACAGGCCTCCTCTCATCCATACTCACTGTACACTGCATGGCAGAGGGATAGGCAAGTGAGTCGAGGCAATCTGACTGGGTTGAGGTCTCTCAATCGCTCCAGCTTTGTTTTGAATAATTGCTGTGCGGTGAGTGTGCATTTTGAATGTCTGACAGTACACCCAATAACATTTTCGTCCAGTCTCATAAATGAAATCTCGCAATCCATCTCGTCATGATTTCATTATTTAAGAGTCATTGTCGTCATTAAAATAAAAGAGGGAGTCAACAAATATGTGATCTTTGACGAAAACAAAACTGTTGGCAAAGCCTGTTATTTGCAAATGATCTACGCTGTGCTTGGATTTACAAAGCGTTAGCAAACTTGCACTGTCTAACCAAGGCAATGGGATGACACAAAGCTATGGCAGGCCACTTGCGGGCTGCAGTGCTTTTGAGAACATTTGGGGTCTGATCAGAGTCGATCTCCAGTTTCATGAACAAATGGGCAGAGATACAAAGTTCCACAAGTTGGTGAAAAAAAACTGAAATATTGAAATATAGTCATATTTTGGGTTCAACACAGACTTTCTTTAGGGAAACAAGATAAAAACTGTAAATCCACCAATGGAAGGAACTCCATGGAGCTTATTTCCTTACTGAAAACAATGCAGGCTTGCATTACCATTTTTCCATTCTCAACTCATCTTTATTTATATCTCGCTGAGCAACAAATTTTTTCATGGGAGAATACAGGATTATCTGCAACTCGTCATGTGACGAGAGAGGAGAGACAGTTTTTTTGTGAGGTCCTCTTGGTCCCCATTAGTAGATAATATGATAGACACGAGTAATGCAGCACAAGTCGCACTGACCCTGCGTTGTGACAGCAGCTAGTCTTGAGTAGTAGTCACATAAAGTGTTCCAACTGACAAAAGTGCTGATCAAGCTTCACACCTGACCTCTAAGAGAGAGCCCGGACAGCCTGCGAGGCAAATAATTTCGGCTGCTTGTATCCAGGATCTTATTCTTTCAGTTTCAACCCAGAGCTTGGGCCCATAGGTAAGGTAACGTAGATTCATCTATAAATAAATACTACGACAGACAATACAGAGTCCGCAACACTGCAGATGGTGCACCGATCCAGCTGTCGATCTCATGCTCCATCCTTCCCTCACTTGTGAACAAGACCCCAAGATATTTGAACTCCTCCACTTGGGGGAAGACTCTCATCCCAACCTCAGGAGGGCGAAACACCCTTTTCCGACTGAGTACCATGGTCTCAGATTTGGCGGTGTTAATTCTTATGCAAATCGCTTCTCAAATACCAGCCTTGGAAGAGTCAAATGCTTACTGGAGATGAATCTGACTTACTGCCAGCAATGCAGCGCAAACTGACACGGGCCGTACTCCACACTCCTGGAGTACCGAATACAAGATCCCCATGGGTACACGGACAAACACATTTTCAAAGTCCACAAAGCACATGTAGACTGGTTGAGAAAACTCCGATGTACCCTTGGGACAGTGTCCGGTCAAGCCCCATGGGTACGTGGATCACCAGGCACTTGCCAATGAGCCCTGCCTCCAGAGGCATCTCGGTAAGGGAAATGAAAGTCCACATATTTATTTCGTCATACTGGGTCTATGAACTATACTTTGATTGGTCCCTCATATAGGATCTTTTTGCCATGGATGAACCAGCCAGGGGCATAAATCCCCAGACAACCAGGATCCTAGGATCAATGGGAAACACAGACCCTTCTTCCTTGTTAAGGTGGCAGGTCATTGAGGGTCTGATCACATTATACACAAAACCATTCATTGAATATTAAAAACATACCTGATGTGTCCAAATGCTTGTGGGTCTTTCAGTCTGGAAGATGAATGAATTATTTCTCCCTGTAATTGGAAGAAAATGAAAATATTACTAACAGTTTCCAGAGTTGGGTGTGTCAGTAAATTTTGCTTATCGATCTTTTGTCATTCGCCAGCAGTCAAGCCACCCATCCGTCTTTGTCAGTCTGTCATTATTTCAAACCAAACCATAACTGTCGTGTTAGTCCGCCACTGTCATCGTTATTTCATGACGGTCGCTTTTCTCTTATGTGTATTTGGGATTAATTATATTGTTTTGTATTTTTTATTAAAACGCTGCGATGTCATATTGTGTTTTGAGTACGTATTTATTGAATTGAATTGAATACAACTTTATTGTCAAATGTGCTGTACGTATGTGTAACATACAGCACAGATGAAATTTATTAGTTCATATCCTGTTTAAATGTTTGTTCCTATCTGAATTACTTTCTTACAGCACACTTCATAAGCGGTTGAGGAAAAAGGTGAGAGCTCTAAGACATCTAGGCCTCTGGAAGAAGTTGAATTAAGAAGGAATTGAATATTTTGGCAAGGAAGACAGCAGAAAAATAAATCTCAACTAAAAATAATTGTAACCCGCCATACCCCAGCCTTATAAAGTCTTTGAAAGGGTTGCACTCCTCTAATCGGCACATTTCCATCAATAGTCAGAAAAACAAGTCTGTCAGTGACAGTTTGAGAAAGTTCATCTGCACTGACCAGTTAGTGACGATTCCAGTGATGGACGAAATCCCACAGTCCGTCAGTTTTCCAAAGTTTCCAGTCATTCATCAGCAAAACAGGCGTCCGTCAGTAACGGATTGACGAGATCTGTCCAATTATTAATGCACACATTAGCCCAAAATATAGCTGCGCGATATATCATTGTTGTATTGTCTTGTAAGTAGATAGGAACATTCAAGATAGTAATCTGAATTTAAAACGGTATATTTCAGACAATTCTGTGGATTTTGCACGCTTGCGTTGCATGTAGAGCTCAGGCCAACCAATCACATAGCCCTTTCCAAGTTTACAAGCACCGATAGACAGTCTGACAGAGGGAGAGAGAGAGAGACATACATGCTCACGGAGCAGGAAAAGCGCAAAAGTGATGAATGCTGTAGGTAAACTTGGTGTCGACCTCACAGTGCAGAGGTCATGGGTTCCATCCCGCTCCGGCCTTCCTGTGTGGAGTAGTCCCCGTGCCCGCGTGGGTTTTCTCCGGGTGCTCCGGTTTCCTCCCACATTCCAAAAACATGCATGGCAGGCTTATTGAACACTCTAAATTGTCCCTAGTTGTGAGTGTGAGCGCGGATGGTTGTTCGTCACTGGGTGCCCTGTGATTGGCTGGCAACCGATTCAGGGTGTCCCCCCGCCTACTGCCCTAAGACAGCTGGGATAGGCTCCGGCACCCGCCGCGACCCTTGTGAGGATAAAGCGGTTCGGAAAATGGATGGATGGATGAAAACCTTTTTTCCCTTTAAATCAGCAAATATACTGGTCGCATGAGTACGAATAGATGAAAAATTGAAGTGCTCACTCTCAAATTTTAGGTCCAAAATACCACGATTCAGGGACTGTCTGTAGCCTTGAACATAACTAACTTTAAAAAAAAAGTGGAATTGTACTGCTCACATTGACATTGGAAAAAGCAAACAGACCAACAACAAGACACTAAGCATAACAATATGAATTGATCTGCAGTATGAACTTCAGAAGAGTGCAAAAATGATCCAGTCAAGAGTTGATAGTACAGTTTTACAATTTATTTCAGTTTGGCATTTGTTTCCAACACCAGCATCATCAGGTCTATTACTGACCAGTTCAGAGATATATTATTTTCCTGTGATAAAGACGAAGAAAGTTATGAATCGGTAAAACTATTGTAAACGCAGCACTTTCTGTAACAACTTCTTCCATAATTAGACAATAGGGATGTTCACACGGCACACATTTGCATCGGTGCTGCACCGACGTATTTTGTTGCGATATATCTTACACCGGTGCAAATTTTGTGGAGTGTTCACACATAAAAAGCTGCTGACTAAAGAGAAGCGTGTTTATCCCGGTGCAGCCCCACTTGCATTCACACGGCAGTTTCTGCGGCGGTGCAATACAATAGTATTAATACGGAAATAAAACAAAGAGCTGTCATGTTGGCTCTTTTTAAAACATACACTTTATTAATTTGTTTAACTCAAGCAACTACAGGCACGTCCTTCTCCTTCTCGGTCTCCGTGCCTTCTGCTCGAGAGGCATTCAATGACCACCCCCGAAAACGTAAATCAACAATGACTTCAATGACACTCAAAAAACAAACATAATGCGCCAAACAGAAAATCAAGAGAGGAAATCACAAAATAAATTCTATGGGGTGGTTGTGAACACACAACAGAGGAACAAACTACACAAACAACTCCGAGACAGTCCAGTCTCCTACAAAAGGAAAGATGACGGAAGTACAACAGAGCACGAAAGCAACGCATTCTACCCATATGTAATCAACTCTTCTCATGCGTATCGAGTCTACCCCTGTAGCGTTCACACGTACCATTTTACATCGGTGCTGCCCCGCAAACAAGCATTTACTCCGGAGCAAATTTTTAAACCACCTCCATGAGCAGGGTTAAATTTGCTCCGGTTTAAGCTGTTTTCAGGGGCTACACTGGTGTAACTTTGTACGTGTGAACGCTCTACGGGGGCAGCCCCGGTGCTGCAAAAGCAAAAGTTGCCATGTGAACACCCCTGATGAGGCTCAAGATTTTATGTGTAATCTTTTTTTTTAATCAGTTACAAGTTACAAAAACGTTCTTAATCATTAACCTATTTTCAAAAGGTTGGGATGATTGGAAGGATAAATAAAGAGAAACGGACAGCATACAATGTTTTTTTAATTGATTAATTAATGAAGTTATGTTTGAACATTTGCCACTCAAAATACATTGAAAAAACAGGTTGATCGCTCCTCAAATTGTGTGATTAAGAGTCTGACCACTTCTGACAGCCAACCAGTGGAGTTTACGCACATGGCTACTATAACATTGTCTTGAATTTCAAAACAATACATTTTAGAGCTGTAGTTGCAATCATGGGACACTGTGATATTGTTGTTGTATTTACAATAACCGTCAGAATCTAATCCATGCCTAATCGCCACATTTTAAATTAGTCATCAAACGGCAAATACAAATGTTATAGTTTGAGGACACAATAAGATTAACTTTTTTCTTTCTTCTTTTGTTTTACACATGAAATGTTGATTAAAACATTTCCTGAAGAGATAAACAACTTCAGTAATGACTTGGTCAAGCTTCCACTGTACATTTTAATTTTTCCAATTAAAATTTGGAGCTCTACTCTTGCTTTGTAGTTAATAACCAAACATGCATTTGAACAAAACCATAAATGGCACCAATTCATTACCCAGTTATCAGAAACCAGTAAGAGCAGCAGCATGTCAGCCTGTGTCTGACAAAGTAATACATTTCCCCATAAAGTGACATTCTTTTGGTTGCCAGTTTGAACCTCGGCTCGGGCCTTCCTGTTGGGAGTTTGCATCTTCTCCCTGTACTTCTCTCTGGATATTGTAGTTTCCTCCCACGTGCCAAAAACATGCATGTCGGATTTATTCAAAATTATTTATAGGAGTGCGCATATACATGTTTGTTTATTTCCCCCCCCCCCCCACCACCACATCCCATGACCTACGGCAACCAGTCCAGGGTGTTAGCACACCTTTCACTGAAAATCAGCTGTGAGCTCCAGCTCACCCAGGTTCTTCATGAGAAAGAGTGGTATGAAAGGGAAAACAAATGGATGCATGAAATTATTTAAGTCAGATCAAATGTCTTTGCATTTGCTTATGTGAAGTTTACACCCTACTCCCACCAAATAAATACATAAATAAATCGGAACGCATGTTGATAAATTTGGGACACTGATTAATATTATAATACAGAGTGCTCCCACTAACACTTTGGTGGCAGTCTCTTGGCAACCCCTTTGTTTTCATGAAGAGAACGTTAAATGAAGACTAATGGCAACCTATTTGTTCTCGTTATAGTCAGGGTACATTCAATAAGGACTAACGGAGATAATTTAAAGCAACTTTTATATGACTGAGACCAAACAAGAGTATATCTTCTTGCAAAATGTGCGAGTGCGTGGTGTTGTTTATTCACAGAAAGAGACAGAGATTTGGGGTCAACCGGTAAATTCACCGACTGGATCACGAATAAAATCCACTAACTGTCCGCCTCAGAATATATTTACGTCAGAGTGGTGGGGGCACTATCTGACATGGGTCGAGTGATTCTCTAGTGCTGATACCCTCCCCCGCGTGTTCGGGTTCTGAGTGACGGCTAGGAAGGCAAACTAGCACGCTAGCAAGCATGCTACTTAGCCAGCTTTGACACCGACCAGCTGACGACTTTCATAAATTTGTTGTTCGGTCCTTACCGTTCAAGTGCCCCGTCTCTTCCTCGAGTTTTTCGTTGCCTCACTTCTCGCAGCAGTTGTCTCTCGTTTTATTTCGTGTCAACTTCCCTTCCAAAGACTGACTTCTTCCTTGAAAATAGCCTTGCTGTTGTCAATAATGACTCGAGGAGAGCAGTAGGGTACGTAGGAAAGGGTTGGGGGTCGTCGTCAGGTCAACTGGACGTCGTTCTCTGTGAGACGAAATCGGCTACTTGCCACCCCTTGGCTGTAGTTTCTCAACTAGAACACGACCATCCTCCATTTTCTCTTCCTTTGCGGGTTTTTCACACAATGTGCCGCAAATGTGTGCGTGGTTCTCAGTAGGACCAATAGCAAGGGGCAAGGGAGTCGGGGAGAGCCCTCCCCTCTTCTCTCTATGGCGCGAATCGTCTCACAGACTGTTTCCGGTCCTCCACTGGTGTTCCTTGCTGCTGCAGTCGATCCTCCCTCCCTGGTGTTCTGACTCTGCTATGTGGAATCAACAACCTTTATGTCCCGGGGTGAAGTCCTCATCGGGGTTTACGTGAGCCCCTGGTGGGTTCCCATACTTCAATGTTGCTGTGTTAGTGACAGAATCACTGTTGGTGCGTCTGCTCCTGTTCTGCACCCCAGTGCCTCCCTAGTCCTCACAGGGTTAATCGGTCGCCTACCACCATTTTGTGAGCTGGATCCGCTACAAAATGGCGCAGCCTGACTAGAGAAAGAGAAGTCCCCAAGGGAAACAACCTCTAGTGGTGAAAATGATTGACAATCTCCTACAATGACCAGGACCACTTTATTTGATTTTGCAGATAATTAGGTAAAGGATGATAAAATCAGAAAATGTATATTGCAGTGTCCTTCAATAGTGTCAAATAAAGTAATGACCGAGGAACAGAAACAAAGCGGGGGGGGGGGCAATGTCTGCATGGATACTGGGTATTAATCCTATGTCATCTCAATAAAATGTGAATAGTTGTCATGTACACCACATGCCAGATAGCAGGCACTTGTTAATGTAACACTTTTGTTAGGACTCAAGCTTTAGAACTAGAAGGTTGTGTTTCAAGTCTGGCTTTGGAAAAAAAGAAAAAGGCTATTAGTTGCTAAAGAGATGGTAGTTTATTTCCTGGTTACTGACATGGTGCCCTTGAGCAAGGTACCGTAACACCCATCCCCAGCTCATGAGATGCAGCACTCTTCCGTGCCCCTTTCACTCTGAGATCTGCAAGTGTGTGATTTGGCTCTCTGTGTGGTATGCGATACAAAATATATACAGCAAAGTAGAAGTTAAATTGATTAATCGGCTAAAATGATTATAATCAGTGTATTTAAAAATGCACATAAAACTAAAACTTAAAATTGAGGATGGACAGTGAAGAAGCTAGATGGATAAAATTGAGAAGCAAAACTTTTTAGGCAGGGTGCCTGCATTGGTACCTGCTGTTACCCACATATGGTCTTAAAATGATACACAGTTTTACATTGTTTACCCAAAGCGTCGCACTTATGTCAAGGATCCAGGGGCATGATGGCCATCGGAAATGTCGGTAGATTCTCAAACGGCCGGTGCATTGCAAATTGTCACGCATCAGGGCTCCAAAGATCAGACAGACTGGTCCACATGTTCCTGGGTTGTTACACCATTGTCACAGCTATACAATGGAGCAGGCTCAGGTGCCTGTGGTGGCCATGTCCATGGTGGGCGACTTTTCCATCAAAGCCATGGACAGATGTGGCAGTCAAGTTAAAGGGCTGATGGTCCTGTCAAAGGTAACGGAAAGAATGGACATTCCCTTTGAATTCCCATGGGCACACAGCTCAACAGAAACATGAAGCATTCGCTGAAGCGAGTTCTCATCATTTGGTACGTATACAAGTTTCCCGAACATGTTATTTGTGGTGGAATCTTATTATTGTCAAGCCCTTATAGAATGCAATTGTAATGTGGGTAAAAAAAAAGGAAGAGGACTAACAGTGTGGCGTGAGGGATCAGCCACCCCAATCCCCCCCAAGTACCAGGGACATAAGTTTAAAACTTTAGTTTCAAGCTTTTCTGTATTTATTCACAATAATTTAACACTGTAGTGTAAATTATGTAACACTGAGTGTAGTGTAGTTAATGGACAATCAAAAAACGGATGACCCCTTCTCCAAATTAGTCTATTAAATTCAGGTTTCACTGCAAAATGAATTACAATAACCACTTACAGATGTAACCCCTGGGTTATTTTATGTGCGCCTCTTAGGTAATTCATGTTCCGCCTGTCCGTCAAGGGCAATAGCACATGTGGTGATAATTGGTTGCTACTGGTAAAGAGGCGGGCGAGTGGGCGTATTTCGCGGAGAGGAAATGTTTGTTAGCCACCGGCCGCTTGTGCGTGGAGACGTGTGCTCTCTCGCTGTTACGACTTGGTGTCTTTAAACTTGTTTTTTTTCCCCGCACTTATTAGACTGTGACGGCTGGTCACGTCGGACCCGTTTTAAAATTTCTTGATTATTCAATCCGATGATTGAGAACAGAGCTGAACTCGTCAGATCGCAACCCCCTGTCACTGAGGACATTGTGGAAGGAAGGAACGCGGTATTAGCTGAGGACGGCATGGGATTTTTCTTGTTTTTCACGAGTAGTTTTGGCTCCCCAAATCCTGCTTTCCCCCACCAGGTGGAAGCGGCCTTTGCAAACAGATGGTAACCCGTGGCCGGTGAGTACCCAACTCCACGAGTGTTTTGATGGAGTACGCCTTTCCTAGCCACTGCTCGCTGGTGACATCACAACTCCATTGAACAGGCCTGTAAAAAACTTGGTACCGAGTGGGGATAGCGGATAGCGAATTGGATATACTTTGCTGCTGTGAATTGGGAATTTCTCCATTGCGAGACTAATAAAGGATTTCTTGTATTGTTATTTTTTTTGTTTGTTTGTCTCTGGGGTTTGACCATTCTTGAGTTTGATGTCATACTGTGTGGTTCCACTCGAGGGTGCTATTGCCTTTAGGTTACCCTCTAGTTAAATAAATTGGTCATTTCCTTATCGGTCATCGCTAATGGTTATTTTTTGCTTACTCCCTTTCCGGGTCAATTAGCCGGTCACGCGTTCTAGTTGCCTGGTAGATCGTAAGCTTATTTTCCTATAGGGGTTGTCCAGGGTATAGAGCAGGGGTAGGGAACTCCAGTTCCTCGAGAGCCAAATCCTGCCTGTTTTAGATCCCTCCCTACTCCAATACACCTGATTCAACTGTTTTTTGGGTTTTTTTTTAAATCAGGTGTGTTGGAGGAGGGTGGGATCTAAAACAGGCAGGATATGGCTCTTGAGGAACCGGAGGTCCCGACCCCTGGTGTAGAGTGTTAGCAGGTGAACGCCGTGCATAGCTGAACAGGCGTTGAACTAAATGAGGGGTTACACAGTATTTTGTTTTGCCTTTCTCACAGGTCGCAGTTCTGTATGAAAAGCACTAATCCAGGGATGTCGGGTCAATGTGGACCTGCAAAATTCGGTTGTTTTCCCATTTGTATGTGGTCTACCCAAGTGGTTGGTGCCTCACCATGACGAGTTCTTCAATCATCTGAACCATTATTACCTCTGTCGTACCCTGAGGACAAAAAGCATTTGCCTGTTTTTCAGTAGCTTGAAGACCATAAACCATTGCTGATTACTGGACTGTCATCATTCAGTCATGTAGAAAAAAAAAAGTACACATCATTTTTCCCTTTATTCTGTTTTTGGGATGTGTGGATACAAGACCTTATCCCAATCCCACACCCGGACTAGTTGCCTGGCATGCGTCCCAGCTTGCCAGAGATCAGTATCCTTGGTATCGAAAATGCATGATATAACAGAACTCAATGAACTGATGCAGACAATGATTGTTCTTTACCTTGCAGGTATGACGAACAAAACCGGCTTACTAATAATCATGAAATTACTGGGCAATTTAATCACAGAAAAGGTTAAGTCATTTACAAGATAACACCATATTAATCCTTGGCTGACATTTTCAAGACCAGTGAAACCCTTGCAGATTGACAACCTGAGTTGTGTAAACACTATCTACAGAACACGACCCAGTAAAATGAGTCGGCCAGTACAGTCTGGTGCTGGTGTCAGGTATCATCAGTCAGCTTGAATACCAGACTCAAATACAAAGTCTGATAGTAGCCAGTATTTGAGTGGACGACTGTACGGTATGACGATTTGATTCCGTGCCTTAAATGCACTAGCATGTCCAACAACTTGAAAACCAGTGTCTCAAATTTTGTAGCAGTACAAATCTCATGATCCCTTAACCAAGTCTTTATTCGAATAAGTGAAAGTCAATGCTTATTGAGCCAAGAAACATACTTAATGTCTTAACAGCTGCACCGTATTAAAACCTTGTGATTCCAAATACAGTGGGACCGTGACAGACAAGTGTGCCAAATTCAATTTTTACGGGCAGTCAAATGATCAATTTGTGGCGCAAGCGGGGAAAAAAAAAATCAGTTCTGAGAAGCTTCTCTACACCCCATGTCCCCCGCTTCAGTGAACTAGTTGGGGGGTTTGGGGGTTGGGAGAAATTAAGGTACTATGATATAAAGTCCACAATTGCTGATGGACTTTCAGCAGTTTATTGAAATGGAAAAACCTTCAGACCCTTTTGCGCTCACTGAATCAACGTACTCCAGATCCTAACGTCAGACACAAGGCCACATCCAAAACAAAGTACATTATGTACAGTCATTACACTTAAACATTGACATTAGTAATAGGTCTTTTGTATATGTAAAAATGTCAGCACAAAAATCCCCCCACTAGGAAACTGTGGTTTTTTTTTTTTTTGTTTTTTGCTGGAAGCACATCTTAGAATGCCCAATTCGAGGGTGGGGACTGCTTGATTGACACATCAGCCTGACTATGTCAGTGAATGGACAACGGTAGGAATGTATTATAGTTTCCCCGCTTCGTCCATGTCCAATTGGTTTCAAACAAATTTTGAACATTTAAGCAAATACACTGGGTGTAGCAACAAGCTAAACGAATGGGTCACCCTTCACATTTAAATCATTCTGACTTAAAAGACAAAGTATTTTGGTCGGAGTTTGGAAGGAAACGGCTACATTTAATCAAGTATAGCTGAAAGGCAGTCCCCCTACGCAGCCATGGCTTCTGTCCTGCTTAAATTGTGGCACTGCCCAGGCTCGGCCTTCAGATGCCTTCTCCCTGCTTCCACGGACATTGTCTCAGTATGAGGACTCTGTACTTCGTAATCATGCTGCGGCCCACGGGAATCCTGCACAGGACTGTCACCACTAACTGTGCATGTGTAAAAACACTTCACGTCATTTAGAGTCCAAAACTGTGAACAATCATCAATACAACAATCAAATTTTGGTGACAGTTAGTCATAGGTTTCCCTCATTTTGCAACGCTTGACCTTTTGACTCCCTAGGCAGCCAGCTCTGGCATCAATCCTGGTGGTCAAGGAGAATGCCCCCGGCAGACGGTCAGCGGATAGTGAACTTGGGTGCAGCGACCTGACCCGAAAGACAAACAATGCCTCACGCAGCCACACAATCAACGCTATACGGCTGACATCTACAAGCCAAGAATCAGTGTGCAGTGCGTGTGTGCGCAACGTCCTCATGACCGTGGCCGTCGGACATTATAAGTGATCTACTGTACCGTACGTGCAGTGATTTAGACAAAATTGTGCCCAGTTCCTCCTCTGATGTCGCCCAAAAATATGGGGAGAGAGAGAGGGATATACCTGTATATGGGGGGAGAGAAAGGGATTGCAGATGAAAGAGATGTTCCAAGATTGGTTCTATATCGATTTCTCCAAAACACACAGATTGGAAATGCAAGCGTCATCCTCCCAATCAAAAAATACTTTTTGAGTGAAAAATGGACCATCCTGGCTACATAGTCCTGTTAATAGAACATGGTAACTTCTATTCTTGAATGTTTTGTATTTGTAAAATAGTGCTGTCTTCATTGAAAATATGTAACAAAAATTGTATTGGTTATTGCGGGACAGTAACAAATTAATGGCATTTAACTTAATTTCAATGGGGAAAATTTATTTGAGATGACCAGTGGCGGCCCGATGGTCCAGTGGTTAGCGCATCGACCTCATAGTGCAGAGGTACCGGCTCAATTCCAGTGGAGTTTGCATGTTCTCACCGGGCCTGCGTGGGTTTTCTCCGGGTACTCCGGTTTCCTCCCACGTTCCAAAAACATGCATGGTAAGCTGATTGAAAACTCAAAATTGTCCCTGGGTGTGAGTGAGTATGGATGGTTCAGGGTGTCTCCGCCTACTGCCCAAAGACGGCTGAGATAGGCTCCAGCACCTCCCGCGACCCTTGTGAGGATAAGCGGATCGGAAAATGGATGGATGGATGGATGGATGGATGGATGGATGACCACAGTGCCGTGAAAAAGTATTTGCCCCTTTCTAATTTCTGTTGGTGCATATTTACCCCACACAAAGATTTCAGTTCATCAAACTAATTTTAATACCACACAGACACAACCCAAGAAAATACAAAATGCAGTTTCTAAATGCCAATTTTATTTAGACCAAAAAAAAAAAAATCCAAAACCTGCCTGTCCCAATGTGAAAAAGTAATTGCCTCCTGAAACTAATAATGATTTGTGCCACCCTTTGCAGCAATAACCGAAATCAAGCATTTACGATAATTGGTGATGAATCGCTATGTAGGAATTTTGGCCCACTCTTCTTCGCACTCTTCAACTTCGGCATATTGAAGGGTTTTCGAGCATGAACTACCCATTTAAGGCCACATCATAGCATCTCAATTACATTCAAATCTGGACTTTGCCTTGGTCACTCCAAAACCTTAATTTTTTTTTTTTAAGCCATTCAGAGGTGGACTTGCTGTTGTGTTTCGGATCATTGTCATGCTGCGTGATCCAAGAACGTTTGAATTTGAGGGTGCAAACTGAATGTCAGACG